TATTGTCATCTCGAAGTGATAATATTTTATGGGAACTTGGGGCAATGCACACTTATTTCAGGCTCTATATAAATGATGTCTGTTTGCCTTCGACTGCACGCAGCTTAATTTCTCAGTGGGGAGTTTAAAACTCAAAAATTCATTTATGTTGATTATAAAACAATACTGACCAGATGACATTCCTGTTTGCGGAAAAATACATGGTTTTTTAAAGTCGTATTTACCGTTGGCGTACATTTCACATTGTCTTTGACAATCAATTAGATCAAAACCTCAATTTAACTAACCAATTTAATTCATATCCAGTCATCACGAAAAACTAAAGGAAAACTAAACTACTAATATTGTTTAGATTGGCTTACTATCTCATCCTACTCTGTTAATTACGACTTCACACTAGAATTCTGGGAATTTCATCCCGAATACACAGTGAAAATATATAAAATAATTTCCAGTAGACTGGTTTAGCATTAACTCTCTCATAATCCTTCATTTCAATCTAACAGGATTCTACCAATTAGATCATATTGATGTCTTATATTATTTGGTATTCAGTTTCGCTTGGTTTCATTGACTTTGCCTATTGTTGTAATCTGTGTCTTAATTAATGAATATGGTATTTAGACTAGGCATCTTTCTAATAGGTTTGATGTGGATAATTATAAAATTCAGACGAAATCGTTACATATGATGTTAACCATTCGAGTACTTTATTTAAAGTTTGTTCCTGTTCCCAAATTATATTACATTTTCCCAGTTCTATGTTCAACGTCTGAGCACTTTAAATGAGCTAGTTATTAGTCAACGACCACTGAAAATGTCCCTTATCGCAAAAATGAATGGAGAGTTTAAAACGGAACAATTATAGCAATTTTTGCAAATAGCAATGTCTGCAAAAACTAGTTTATTTCGTGCTTATTTTTGTTAAGTTATGCACCAAACAGAAGTGTGGTACGATATCTCAACTACAATTCAGACATTAAATTATTTGAATGAATATGTTTTGTGCTGAAAAGCACTCACATGATTTTGCTTTACTCGATGCCGATTGAGGACCACATTTTAAAATAATGCCTTATCTCTTAAAATTTGATTGATCATTGGTCAGTGACCATTGTTTTGCATGTCTTACAAATCCTTATTTTTGATCGAATTCACTTCTGATCTGTTCGATGGGAATTGGAGCATCGGAATCATGTTGATTGCCCTTGTATTTTGTTCCTCACAAGAAAAATTGATATGATTGTGTGGCGATCTCCGGTGAAGCTTCTAAACCTGAAATCGAAATAACGAACAGATGCATAACTGAACAAGATTCGAGAAACAAGCTTCTATATTCCCTAACTATTACAATCCGTCTCATGAGAGGTTATCGTTTCACGAGAGATTTTAGCCTTTCTAATAAAATTTCATTATTATTGCGACTGCCTTAGCAGTAAACGCGACAGTAATTTGTTGCACAACAATTCAGTATTGAGGAGTGATCAATATTAGACCGGTAATTTCACGATTCCAAACGAGTCTTGTGAATTTAGGTGTCGCTTGATCAACAAAACAAACAACTCAACAGAATGTTATGTATTTGATTTAATGATAAAAGACATTCGTGTTTACTATCGTTCATGTGCATGGCTGACCCGTTAAGTGGTTGAGTGTCGCATTTACTTACAACTTCCAATCCCGGTCGCGTGACTTCACCGTCAGAAGTGTTGAACCTACGTTGTTCAGTCAACAACTGGCTATTTGTATATATTCAAATCACCCAGTGAGTAGAAATTGATATCATGCAACCTTCTAGTTCATAAGACTGATTGGGTGCTCTCGATCATGCTCTGAATCGAATATTCTCTGTTATGCATCTCAACTACTCGATAAGAGTTCGTCGTTGAACTGATTCACTTATATCACTCGATTCGTTTTCACATTAAATTACATTCAGATATTACCTTGGTGTATTCTTCGTTCAAACCACAACGTATAGGTAAAATGCATCTTCACTAATGTTATTACAAGTGAGTAATTGATGATCTCCACAATTATTGTTCACAAGATTGTTCTACTCCCGAATATTTAAATGAACTTCACGTGATGATATTTTCGAACGAGTTGTCAATTGTGAATCGGATTTCTATGTCTCTCACAATTCAGTCATTTTACAAATGCAGAATTTTCATTGATTTAGTACAATTATATTGATCAATGATATGAATATTTCACTTGAAGTATGTGACCTTGGCTGATTGTTTGTTTTTATCACTTTGTGGTTTATTTTAACAATAGACTAATGATGAAACTCAAAAAATTGGATTCATCAATAATGTGTTGTAGACGAGAAATATTCACAGATATTTTATGTTGAGTTAGTAAACTGTCAAGGTATTTCTATATCATTAACATATTTGTGTATATTGATTGAAGTTAACTATCGTGTTCCACTATCACCAAATTACGCTTTCATCTCTCATTTCACGTTGACTGAATACTTAATGTGTGTTCTTCAAGTACTCATCATCACTTGATACAACAACTATTCAATACAAACCTGAATACGATCATTGTAACAACTGATGAATACAGTGCTTATCCATACTCAAATGGAATAATCATGTGTGTTTTGATCTTGTAACTATGAGACATGTGGCCGGTCACTAACAATCAAATGGATTTCGTGAGACGATTTGGAATAGTTAGGGAGTATGGAAGTATGGGAGTTTGTTTCTCGAATCTCGTTCAACTATGCATCTGTTCGTTGTTTCGATTTCACGTTTAGATGCTTCATTGGAGATTGCCACACAATCATATCGAGTTTTTTGTGAGCAACAAAATACAGTGAGAATCAACATGATTTCGATGATGCAAATCTCACCGTACAGAACAGAACAGAACAGAAGTGGCTTCCACAAGTAACTCGACTCACCGAATTGGTATAACGAATCAACACTAGTGTGAGTGAGTTGATGAGACACATTATGGAAATGAACTATCAGCTCTTGCAAATTGTTTGCACCCACATATCGACGACCTATGGATGATTAAACACGAGTTATTAGTACCATGGTTCACAAACCAGATCTTCTTACACGGTCAGTTGGATTTCTCTATGGAATTGAATTAAATTGATCAAATGTTGAGTACATGTATTGGTGACTGAGTGAACATGTGTATTTGGTGTGAAGTTTGACAACGTGATGTGATGTGATGTGTTGTCGGTGGAAGGAGTGGACAATTTGAGTGGTTAGGTTGATTGGAGAAAACATTATTTTGGTGGATAACTAGACGACAATCATAACCACGAAGCAACACACCATACCGTATGTAATGAGATTATTGTAAAAGATGAATATGATTTGGAATTGTAGTGTCTATATTTGGCACTGATCGATGCACTCAACTGATTAGATATTCATTGAATCACGACACTGTGTGAATGATATATATGGTCAAACAAAACGTGAATTTAAGACGGTACATAACTTAATTGACTGAATATACCAGCTCCTAATATAAACTGTTTGTTAAAGTGCTTAATATGATTCAACACGTAGATAAGAGTGTTTATTGAATATAAGTACTATCCTATCTTTCTTACCCTAACTCTAAATCTGGATACTAAGTTTCTCAAGTTTGTAAACAGAAGGGTGGCGAAGAATCGCATTATAAATGATGTTAGTTCATGATGAAAACTTCAACAGTAATTTGTAAATACAATTCGAAATTCCAGTTTATCTGTTAATACTTGACCCCGAACTTGTTGAATTATAACCGATGTCACGTGGTGATGATAACTCAATGGATTGATAATCCTAACTCAGAATACTATCTCGAACCCTAATATGTGAACTTGACCATTCTCCTTTACTACAAAGAGTCATTTAGCATGTGAGGGTTAATTATTAATAAAAAATCTACTATTCCATCGGTACTTCATTGGTTTTTTTATTGTTAATTGTATTGTAACAATGCAGCGTTTGCTGGTTGACAGATAAGTTGCTCTGGGTCGTCATTATTACTGTACTTTGACCCAGTTTTTCTATTAGACAGGCGAAAACAATTTGGGTTGTGATTTAAGAAATGTGGTTATTTGGTGAGACACATTTCAAAGAAGTGTGTTGATCATCGGATCAAATGTTTGTTTATTTTGACGAAGATCTGATAAGGAGTTTACTACTGGGAGGTGGTTTTTTTTTATCGAAACCATTTCATGTGACTGATGTGAGGAACTGCAGATTATTAGAGTTGAGGTTAGTCTATGCAAACAAACTGAGTCAACATGTACCCACGACTGGAAAACTGTCGTTATCAGTAGAAGGTCTCAATTATCTTATCTTTTGTTTGTCACACTTGGGAGTACGATTGAAAAGGAGAGTGCAATAGATAGTTTTCTTCGCTATTAATGAACTCGTAAATGGTACGAACTAAAAGCCTAAAGGATTAGTGGATCTATTTGGTTGATTACATTGGTTGACATGTCCATCTTCAATCAATTCTGGATAGAGCGTGACGATAATCCAATGTCATCATATTTTATATTGAGCAACGAAGTAATGTATGAACTATTTAACCAGACAAACGATCAGTGTTAGTGTTTCTCGCAATCATTTGAATTTGATAAAGAGATAATGGCAACCTTAACGACGAATTTCACGCATCAGGAAATTTTTTTAACCGTCCTCAACTACGGTCTCTATCGATGAATTTCATTTAAAAGTAAAACTGGCTAAACTTCCTAAACGACAAATGGTGGACAGCAACTCATTCTGTACCTCCGGAAGAATGATTCCTAAAGGATATCACCCATGAAGGTATTTTGAAACTGTTCAGAACGGTAACAAGTAAAACAGAAATAATATATTTGGATTGTGATTGTATGATACATCAAATATGACATCAGTGAGTTCATAATTTGAGGTAACTGGTATAATCCATTTCTGTCTTTCCATACGCGTTCTGACGTTCGTCAAATTATAGAAATATAATAATTTTTTTATCTGTTCATATCATCAATCTAGATAACACAGTACTTCATAACTCTTCTCCGAATGTTCCTCGCCACCCCATGGAAAATATGCACAACCATGTGATGGATGGACTTTACCAACACACATCTCATTATTCACTAATCTACGAGCTATGTATAAAGGTTCGGATGATTGGGTTTCACCAGCATGTAATGCATTGTTTGGTACATTGCCTCCAGTATATGAAACCCATTCATAACTAGATGAATGAACAATGGAGAAAACATATTATTTATGTAAATGCTTATAAATATTTTGAATGGCAAACTGGAAAATTGAATATGGGAAAATGAAAGAATCCGATAGAAAGTGGTTACTTAAGAAAAACACTTGGATAACTGCACAACATGTTTGTGGTAACTCAATTGTCGCATTCCGAATATGAAGGCAGTTAGTAAGGAAAAGTGGAAATCTGTTTGTAAAATGAAGACGCTATCACAAAAACAATCAGTTCGAAATAACAACTGTAGAGTTTTGATGAGTGCGTTAACATAGAACACTGACTATCGATTAAATGGTCAGTAGTTTCGAAGTGGATGTCATTCTAAGCCATTCAAAACGTGTAATATTAAGTAAATAATGCAGTCAGTTGTAAATGTTAATAAATATGTGCAAAATTTTGGAGTTTCACATCACAGAGTGACACCGGTTAGACAAGCATTGGAATCCTGGAAGCCTCAGATAATCGGTGTTCACAGTCTAAATATTTGTATAGGTCGATCAAGCGAATATTTGGATCTGATACTTTATCTGCTTTGAAAATGCTGTATAATGTTCATTGTATTGTTCTCGAAACATAACATAAATATCAATCAAATTTCAACTGAGGCGTATTAAAGTTAGTGCGATGACAAACAGTTCAGTTACTCTGTATAACATCATCATGCATAATCTCCATTAAATAAATCGACCGATACAATACACACTAAATCATTCAAATAAATTCTCATCTGTGTATCCGATTCGTTATTTGATTACATTACGAATAATTCATATATTCTCAGTAGATATTTCACTAATCTTCATTAGTCAACTTAAACTAATGATTTTTCGTAACAAAGTATTAAGATACTTGAAAGGATTATCAAGTTAATACATTCCGCCTACATCTATTTATATGCATTTGAGTTATTGCCAATGTAAACAAAAATGAATAGATTTTATTCATTTGATAGAACATAGATACACATAAGTATGGCGTGATTGTGTTATTAAATTAATGCTGTGTGAATTCCATATTTGGCTTCATGTCAACAAATATTAATACGTACAGTTCTGAATTGACTGACTAATTCAATACCATTCTATATTTGTAGTTCAGCTGTTGAGACCAACTGATCATATCAGAATTTGATAGTAATGTCTTTCCGTGATGTATTTGGTGGTAATTATTTTAAATGCCATCATAAATGGCTTATTCCTATAACTTAGAGTGTTAATCAAAAAGAACTCTTAGTTGAAGTAGCCTTATTGAGTGAATTGAGAGTTTCAAATCTGACTTATTTATGTGTAGTTATAAGCATTTTGGTTAAGATTTTATCAAATTGGTCCCTCGTATTGACTGATGAAATGTAAAACTGTCGGTCCATGGCTTGATGATTCAACTGGGTCCATGAATCAACTTATCTTAAACGACAAAATCAAATGAATTGGACACACATTCGAATTTTTTTTACTTAAATGGTACAAGTTCCTTTCATTTACTTACAAGCGTTCTGTTGGCTTTAAACTTGTGTTGCACAACACTTCGAAACTGTCCAATTCAACTTCTTTTCCACCATATGGTACATAACCTTTACCAAGATATATGGGCCATTTTCCAGGTATCACATCATCATTAACTCGACCACGAATAACGTAGATATTAACATCAGCTTCAACAGCATGCGGTGGAGGGGTTTGTTTAGCGTAGGCGGGTAACCATGATAGATGTGCTTGTCGTCCAGACTGCTGCCACATTCTTTGGCATGTAAATAAAATGCATAGAATGAAATAATTTTTTGAGAAATAGATTACTGAATCTTTATAAGCCAGATTTATTTGTTGAGACTTTCGATCAGCTATATATCACGTTCCTACCACTATTACTAGGGAGGTACTTAATTTTGAACTAATTTTCTTATTATTTGTGGTTGATTATTTAAATACGCAAATGAATTTACTGTTACCGATAATATTAATGAAGTTTTTCATCTTAACTAAGTTCACAAAGCCAGACATCATTCAGGATTTACAGGAAATAAGTAATAGGTGACTAACAGAAAAATCGTAAATACAAAACGTTGAGAAGTCTTACTTATTGAGAAACAGCTTCACGAAATTCACAAGTTTTCTATGTGAGGTTACATCATTCATGAATACTCTTATTTCGACATTTTAGTTAAATCTATTTTTCTTCTTCCTACAGCATAACTCTTGCCATTCTTTTTGTTGTCAAGTTTTACTTCTGTGAGTTTCTGCTGAAATCAATATGTACTCTGAATGACTGATCAACATTTTTGTCTATTTTTGTCTATTTTTGTTCAGTCCTAGTACTCCAGCTTGATACAATTATGTGCTGTTTTCCAACGATCAGCTTGTTCATTTTTTTGTATTTCATAAATCTGAAGGACCCAGTGTTTCTTTAGCTAGACTTTAATCGGTGTAATTGGCGTCAAAATACGTCCTAATTTTCCGCATTATGTTCCGTAATAGTATCGTACTTTCCGATAACTCTAGTTTGTTATCTTTGAAAGTTTTTATATGTAACTCAATCATCAGTCCGGAAACCTATTACAAATCATATTATAAAGTCGGTCAGTCAGCTACAACGTAGGATCAGGCACATACGTGCATCAGTCCAAGTTGCCAAACCACATTAGCACAGCAGGGCGAACACCGGATTCATAGAAGCAGTTAACTCAAAGGTGAAGTATATAAAGAAAAGATTTTATGTAAGGATACAGTACAGAAAGAAAGATATGAAATAATTTTAATTTCATAGTTTAAGGGAAGACAGAAAGTGTATACATCTACGTCATTGTGATCGACTCTGAGCCATGTCACACGGAGTCTCCAAACATTGGTTACGATAGACACGCGGACCCCAACCGAGTAGTTTGCATCTACCATCATGGCTCAGACCAGAAGTTAGTGGCTTCAGGCACTGATGCCATGTTTCGGTTTGGCCGCTCCTAACATTCTTTCAACCATTCCCAACACTAGTCAGCATTGCCTGTCGTAGTAATCGGTGTTCAGACATACGTAACACGTGGCCCAACCATCTCAGTCGATGAAGATTCACAACCTCATCAACTGATTTACCACCATCCCCTAATATCCTGCGTCTAACCCCACTATTACTTACCCGGTGGTCCCAGCAGATGCTGGCAATATTTCTAAGGCATCTGTGATCAAATACTGGTAACTTATGAGTATCTTCTACTCTTAGTGGTCACGTTTCGCAGCCGTAAAGTAGAACAGAGAGAACTGCCGCGCAGTATACTCGTCCTTTTGTTGATAGACGGATATCTCGCCTTCGCCATAGATGACGTAAGTCGGTAAAAGCCAAACGAGCTTTTCAAATCCGTACTGAGATTTCGTCAGACACCAGTCCATTAGGGCTACAAAGGCAGAAGACTGTAGCAACTGTCTTTAAATAAATACCACAGCATAATCCTTGATAAACGTGCGTATGAACAGTTATCTAGGGAAATCTACCTTATGATTAAAAGATTTGAATGTATCTAATAAAGTCAATTTTAAGAGTGAGTACTGTCCCATGATATTACTTATGGATCTATTGTAAGGTGATACATAATCTGAGCTGATAACCAATAATTTCTACCACAAAAGAAATATGTGGTTGTATTCAAAAGAGAAAAATCTAATGGTCACTCTTCGCTGAATACAGTGTTTAGATAAACGGAATTTCGCTAAATTATCCAAAAGTATTCGAATGACAGTTTCCAGTTAACAGGTCATTCTAATCGTAATACATTTTATAATAGATGATTTACCAAAATGTTTGACATACACGATCATCAAAACATTGAAGATGAGTTTCAAACTCGACAAATCCTTCAGTGTTGGAAAAGTAGTCTGTATGCATTTGTGGTTCACAAGCACAAGGTATTTTGTGTAAGAAAAGTCAATTCATTAAAATCAATAATCCAGTCAATAAACTAACCTCTCAATGAGTTATGTTTGAATGGTGAATATATACAATGGCATCGCGCTTATATATAGATATATATATTTATTTATTTGTGATTAAGCTCAATATGTAGTAGGTGGCACAACGTGATTTAGTCAAACCAATATTAAACAATATAAACTATTAACCAATCATAAATTGAGGTCATTTTCGTCTATTTGTGTGTAATTTAAAAATCATTAATTACAATTCAAGAACAACAAATACTAGATTTATAGAAGATTCGATAGACCGCTTTTTAAAGTGCTTCAGCACAAAGTATAACTATGAAATGTAGAAATAGATTACTAGATCATTACAATCTTCTTCATTTCTTATCCATTATGAATACAGGAAATTTCGTATCACAAAGCATAGTCTACTTTTATCATTAAAGCATCGACAGGGAAATTGAACATTTGTATATCTGTGCAACATAATGAATATATATTTAGATGATAGCACTGTGCCGATTTTTCACCGCCATCAGGTTAACATTCGTGTTTGGTTAACTATGACAAATTTTAAGTGAAACATTTTTCAGTATAAAGATTTGCGTAAAATACTGAATATCATTGATATCACGAACCGATCTGAGTCAGACTTTCATTAAGAAATAAGAGTCACTGGATAGCTCTTTAGTCACAGCATAAGACTTCCCGGTAGTGCTCATCCACGACTCTACCATCGGGGGGTCGAACTTAGGCCTGTTCGTCCCACGATTACATCACTTAAGTGAAGTTTATGCTAAACGACAATCTGAAATTTACGGTTGACAAATACAACAAAGACTTAGCTGACTCAATAAAATACGAGTTATGAACATATTCAGGGAGCTGTTGAGGAAGAAAATCATTGAAAAATTTCGTTACAATGATCTAAGGCCTCTTGGATCTCGATTAAGGCATATGAATGGCCCACCAAAAATTCAAAAACGTTCCGTCCAGCTAATGGCTATTTTTTCAATGGTTAATTCATCATGCCATCTCGCTAGCTAGTGGAAAAGTTAGAACTAGTTCGTCAAAGCTTAACCTCCTGGTAAGTCGATGACTTCATTTGATGGAACATTTCTATTTAACAAAATATCGCTTCTTGAAACCATAGACATAATTTGCGAGCAATCGGACTTCCAACCCCTACAAGTATCAGAACTCAAACTCAAAAACTTATGTGTACAAAAGATGTTCAGTTTCAAATTGACAACATCATATACCATCAAACTGATCATATAGCAATGGGAAGTCCGCTTGGTTCTATCTTAAATCTGTTCAGAGCTAACCTTAGGAAGACTGAACTTAGAGGAGTGATCGAATTAATGGTTTATTATGAGAGGTGTGTTGAAGACACTTTTATTGTATGTAATGATTTACAAGTAAAATTGATTCTGAACCTTGCCAACGACGCACATAAAATATCCAGATTACTATCAGCACATTAAAAGAACGATAAATCCTACTTTCTCGGCGTTGCCTTACAACGGGAGAATGGCGTAGCTTAACGTTCAGTTTATCGAAAGGATAAATGGAATGGTGTTTATCTGAATTTTAACTGTTTCTGTCAAATTATTTACAAAAAGGCACTTATCAAAATGCTATTTCACAGAACGAAAAGGATATGTATTTGTTACATCTTTGATCTGTTTGTCCAATAATATACAGGATAGAACTTGTCTGGGTCTAGGTTAAGGCCTTGACACGAAAGGCTAACTGGTTTAACCCTGAAGCTAGAAATGCGTGAGTCCGAATTGGGACTAACGACCTTGGACAGATAGACGAAAACTATTCTGTCATCTGATTAGTTAACAGGCGGGAAAGAAGACGAGTCAACTGGGACACTACTTGAATTATTCCTGATGTAGCTAAATATAAAAAGATATATGAATAAATAGATGACTACCACTATAACAACGCTCAAACACATTTTTTTTAAATGTGTTCAAGCTAAGCGTTAGGGTAGAAAAAATCGAGTACGAAAGGTTACGTTCAAATTACACTAACTTTGGAATAGAACGGGGTATGCATCAAACAGAAGTTTATGCTTTATAGAATCACCAGGATCAAAACAAAGTGCTAGTATCTTATTAACTTTGAATTAAGTGAAATAATGTTCCCCAAAACAGCTTTCGTTGTTCGTCACGGCCTCTTTATTTCTCTGTTCACATTGGTGCTGCGATACACTAGAAGCAGAATTAATAAACGATAAAGAATCCCTAATGAACAATGGATATCCAAAGAAATTAATTAAGAAATATGGGAAACATCAAGACAAAATGCTTCGAAAGATGGATTTAGATAAAAAAACCTATTTTTATTCATCTTGAATTCAAGGGTGATGATGTTGCACTGACAATAAATAATACTGCCTAGAACATGTCCTGCAGCTAGTTGATTATCTTGTATAAAACAACAGGTTCTTTATTAAAATAAAAGATCGATAGGTACTTTCATGTTACCACCAACTGTGTATACAAATTTACATGTGGCTCTATGATGATAAGGATTATTTGAATTATGGTACAAATTAAGAATCCCAGAAATAACGCAATTGGATCAAGAAGTACTAGATAATCACGAACGAATGTACTGTATTCGGAATTCGAAATCAAGCATTCAACAAGTACAAAGGAATCATTAGTTCGTCCAAACACCACAGGCTCCCAAAGCAGTTACATTAGTAGAACAGAAAGCAGGGCCTATATCCGATTTCAAAAACATACCCCAAACAACTTCATGTCAATGGGAGAAAAGGCTACTTCGAAACATTTATGTGGCATCGGGTTACTATACTGAAATCTTTCAGGATCAATAAAAGAACAGTCAAATTCCATTCTCCTCGAATTTACAGAAGCCTTAATTACTTCCTTACGCCTGTTATCCCCCTATGAAGGGGCACAGGGCACCCATCAGTTTTCTCCATCCAACTCTATCCTGGGCAATCCTTTCCAGTTCTTTTCAGTTACTGTTCATCCTTTTCATGTCTGCTTCCAATTCTCGGTACAGTGTGTTTTCAGCCTTCCTCTTTTTCTTTTCCACTCTGAATTCCAACTTAGCACTTGCTTCGTGATGCACTGTGGCGATTTCCTCAATGTTTGTCCCATTCACTTTCAACACCCTTTCCTAATTTCCTCTCCAACTTGAAGCTGGTCTGTTCTCTCCCACAGTAGGCTATAACTGATGGTATCCGGTCAACGGACATTCAGTAACTTACGTAGGCAATTGCCTAGAAATACCTGGATGTTTTTGATGATAGTTGTGGTAGTTCTCCGCTCTTCATCTTCGTACAGTAGGAATATTCTGACGTTCGTATTGAAAATTCTCACTCTGATATTGGTTGACAGTTATTTTGAGTTCCATGTGTTCTTCAACTGTAGAAATGCAGCCCTTGCTTTGCACATCCTTGCCTTTACATTTACATCACATCCTCCTTGTTCATCGATGATGCTGCTGACCAGGTACGTGAAAGTTTCCACCTCTTCCAGAGCTTCTCCATCAAGTGTGATTGCGTTAGTATTCTCCCTGTTGTATTTGAGGATCTTGCTTTTTCCCTTGTGTATTTTGAGGCATACTGTTGCAGAGACTGATGCTTCACTATTTGTCCAGGCATGCATTTGTCGATGCGTATGAGATATAAGGGTCAGGTCATTTATTACATGCTTCCTCGCAGATGTCGGGGTCTTCATAATCCAGTCGACCATCATAGGAAAGAGAAAGAGGAAGTAGGCAGCCCTGTCTGACACTAGTCGTCATTTGGAATGCCACTGTTAGCTGTCCTTCATGCACGACTTTCCAATGTAGTCGTCGTGTGAATTCCGTATAGTGTTGACGATTTTCTCAGGTACACCATAGTGTCGAAGTTTTCATAAATTCCTCCTATCCAGTCAACATCAAATGCCTCAAGATGGACTTATGTATCCAAATACAAATAGTTGCATATATTACCTTGTCATAGTGTCTTTATCTTCAATTTATTACATCATTCTTGAGATTTTTCCACTCTTATTTTAATTGTACCGCTTTTCCAAATTCGCAGTTTTATTTTAAACTGATTAGTCTCAAGTCATATTCTTCTTAACTGCCATCGATTTACGTTCAACTACATTATTACATAATCAGTTAACTGTTTTAGCCCCATGATCTCTTATTACTATGTCTGATGATCCGGAATCTTCTCTTATAGATTATATTTATTTACACCACTCTTTATGTCTTTAATTTCATCACATTTGTTCGAATTACTACCTCAATTTTACTCCTATAAATATGCAGAATTAACGATAATTTTGATTTTAAAATATTATAGCAGTTGATAAGAACCGAACGAAATAAAATAGATTCATGCTATTCTGCACAATTCGTTATTTTTGTATTCTTTAACATCTTATGGACTGGCCGAGTATAAGAATATCATGTGCCTGTGTTCATATATCACCAAACCTAATATAGTAATTTTTGCTGTTATTGTTCTATTTCCGTTTTCTTTTTTTAATTAATGAATTGATTGCTCTATAATGGTACTGAAAATGAGCCCTCGATGCACTATTGATACCTCAGTAGAATGTCTAATAAAAATAACTTGTTTCTAAATGATGTCCTATATTATTATTATCTTCGTGAAAAATTTCTTCTGAAAACAATTTATGTATCATAACTTTCCAAACGATTTAACCTTATATCTCTGTATTTTACATGTAACATTTCTTTTTATTATCAAGCTGACCAGGTCTGTATGTTGACATGGATTCTATGACACAGTTTGCTTACTTACTTATATGCCCGTCTCATGGTCAAATGGTAAGTGATATATGTTAATGAGCCTAGTTAATTACGCACCTATATATCCGTGTCTGGATCACAGGGAAAATCGTATATATGTCTATGCTTCATATAAATTACTATGTCTACCTTCGAAGTCCTATAGATAAGCGACTGAAGTTTGTAGATGTGACGATATCAGATTGGTTTCTGATTAGTGATTGAGATTTATTTTTACCTTTCAGTTGATAATGTTACTAAATAATATAGACCGTATGAACTGCAGAGTTTCTCCTTGTATTATACATGAGACTCAATTCATATACTCAGTAAACCCAACACTAATGGAATACTATTCGACGCAAGAGAAAGGATAAAAGTAAAGGATGAGAATTTAATTCACTTCTAAAAATTTGACTTAAAATAATATATCAATATACTTATATATGTAAGTAACTGAACATAGATTAGAAAAGTAGCATCGTCGTTGATACTTATCACATTCAACCTATCAAGTGAAAAATAATTAATCAAACATGGAAATGAAGATCATAGAGTAATCAACAATAATTCACTCCTGTTTGTCCCATCATTGCTTGCACACAAATTTTACTTTGTTGACTGTAACTGCTTCAGTAGACCTAATAATTATCTTAAGCTGCATGGAAATTATTAATCAACATTTCTGGATCCATGATTCAAGTACAGGTTCAAACGGTTTGCGGAGATTAATGTAATATCGATTATAAGCGACTTGCTCAAGTGAAGCTATTATTTAGAATGCAACACTATGTCTACTGAATATGTTGTAAGTAGTATAAATGCAATTGATATAGGAATGATAAACAGAAGAGGAAATTCCTTTACTTTATTTCAGTTTGCTCAATAAATCGCGAATAGTTCAGCAAACAGGTGTTCTTCTCAGAGTTTAGTCTCAAAGTACTTCAGTCACTTCACAAGCATATCTCTCAGAATATACAATAATTCCATCACTAATAAACACGGACTGTGGTGTGTGCTACTTATGTCGACGGATATAAGTAATGTGTAACACCAATTGAAAGTGGGATGCCTGGCGGCAGAAAGCTGAGAAGACTGAATAGAAGAGAACGGGAGCAGAGAGTGATTGGTATAAAAATAAAGGAACAATAAAGTCTGAGACTATCGAATGACATTTTGCAATAACAAAATAAATTTGGTTGTCCCCACTTGTGTTCTCGTTCACTACAGGTCTACCTCTATACAAAAATAGTCCTTTTCAATTTGATGGCTTCAATCTGATTAGTATGACAGCAGGATTCAAAGTGTGTTAAGCGTAATTCTATTCAGAAATAAGGGACGATTAGTGAACAACGATATGGATGTTCTCTTTAACAACATCCACTCTTAAACCTACACATATAAAACATAGGTAGTTAATGATAAGAAGTAATTATATTAATGTTGAGATGATAGAAGGTTGAAATAATGGTTAGAAGTCTACAGTTTTAAGAAGCTGCTAACAGCGATAATGTATCGTAATTTCGTTTGTACAATGGATAACTTACTTTAAATGTGAGAAATTTTTTGACGTAAATGAACCCCTCCCATGTCCCAACGAATTATTACTCAAAAAATCAATAGCCAAGTTATTATAATCATTATTATACAGAATATATTTTAAATTTGTTAAAGGGATTTGCCTGTCTTATCCCGGTTTATTCAATCAAACAAAGAACGTCATATTCTTTTACTTTATGTTCAACATTTCCCCAAGGCATAAGTGCACATTCATATTCAGAGTTTACTTTTCCCACACACATCTCATTGTTTATGGAAGCACGAGCAACATATAATGGTAAACCATCAGTGGTTGTACCAGCCAATAAAGCACCAGCTGGGACCCTACCATCAGATGCTGGAATCCAATTGTATCTGACAAACAGTTAACCAAATAAATAATAAAGAAGATTATTTTTGAGTTGTAGATGAAAGAAAATATTAAAATGTATATACAGTTTGAAAACAAGCATTACTGAAGGGATTATTAAATGATTACTAGTAAGGGTTTCAGTTTTCTCGTTGGTGATGCTTAGGACTGGACATTAATCAGTCTATTTTACAAAACGTCCATTTTGTACCGATCACCTCGATATAAACATTTTATTGAATCTAGATGGATTGTGGGAAGTAGTGAAATCAAGGACAGTCATCTCATCATATTTGGGACTAGTCAATTGTATGTACCTGCTTAACTCTCAGTGTCGCTGTTCGTATTGAGATGGCCATTAAGAAAGTGACAGTATGGACATGTCGATTCAATCCAAATAAGATGTATATATGTCAACAAGGACAAACCAAAATTCAGTTCCGAATATCAACAACGAGATAACTTAAACCCTGACTAATAAGGACATAAATATCATACTACCTGGATTCATCAGCTTAAAGAATAATATGCTGACATCTACGGTGAAAGGTACTGGGTTCAAGTCCCACTGGGATGAAGGTACATCTAGCAGACGAGTCCCAGACTGAGCAAAACGTTCATCCTGGATTCCACTTATAGCCACAATTCATTTATTTTGACAAGAGATTATATTACCCGGGTTAATTCAAAAACATTTGTAATCAGTTTATATTATAAGTACAGTACTTTCAATATCTTCGACGACTTAATAATGTGTGAATATGAAAGATATCCAGAATGTGTGAACATTCATGATGTGTTTAATCTTTTGAAGAAAACTAAATGTAATGACAAATCTGCGGCATTGATCTTGAAGTACGGTCAAGTTCATGACATATACTTGAAAATTTAATGAAATTTTCGACAATTACTAATTATAAGAAATCTTCACAGTTTTTTTTTTGACACTAAAACACTCAATCGTACAGGTTGCAGTATCCGATCAAAAGAGTTGAACATACAACTGTTTAACTAGCATAAACAGAATCCCACGAATAATAGTCTGGCTTATATAGATCATATATCATAAAAAAGGTTCAAATAAAATAAACAACTAACGAATCCCTAAAAGAAACAACAATTTTCATCTACTGTCCACAATGATTATTTTATGTAAAATTTGCATTCCTTTTAGCTTGGCAAATGAGGTGAGTTTTGCTGAAGTATCAACCACCATTATAAAATAGATGCTCATAAAAATCCAAGTCAAATAATAACATTTAAGTTTTGAAACTAAGGGATATGTAGTTATATGTTAAGTAGATTGTTGATCAGAAAGTCAACTGCCTGAATAATCATGTTAAATCAAATATGATTAACATAAAACTGTGATTATTGTTTAGATAACTCAATACCACATCGAATTTTATTAAACTAATACAATGGTGGTCTAATGGTTAAGCGCCCGCGAGCGAGACTGATAAGTCCTGGGTTCGAATCTTGCGGGGGGCGGGATCGTGGATGCGCCTTGCTGAGGAGCCCCATACTGGGACGAAACGACCATCCAGTGCTTCCAGGTTTCCCATGGTATTCTGGCTTCAATTGACTCATGATTCCAACTATTGATAATACAATAGTATTAGTTTTGGTAATAGATTCATCAATATAAATAATAAATAGAAAGAAAATTCGATCTCATTGCATGTTTGACAGATTTAAATCACTTTCCACTTGTGTCAAATAGCTTAGCAATGACTTCAGATTTGTCACATAGATGTACATTTTAAAATAATGGTAGTACAGTAAAACCTTACGTTCCCTAAACCCACTCATATTTTATGAGTTTTGATAAGATGGTTATTTAAATTTATGATCTTATGTTATGATTTATAAATTATCCGAATTCAATTCGTAGCTAAATTCAATGATTCAAATATTATTTATAGAAATAGTTACGTCACAAATTTTGTTGTTGCTTACAATGATTGATTTGGAAATACGTTTGTATTACACAAAATTTCAAATTTACAAAGTCCATGTTCTTTTCCATCACAAGGTATAAAAGCTGCACCTATTCTAAGAGGCAATTTTCCTGGTATTACATGTCCATTTACTTCACCTCGAGCAACATAAATACGAGAATCTGCTTCGACTCCATTTGTTGGTTGATCTTTTCCTGCAGTAGCAGGTACCCAAGATAGATGAGATTGTCGAACATAAAATGGAGTAGTCATCTTAAAATCCAAAAAAAATCCATGGTACAAACACATGTTATATAATTAATAATTATTATATAAAATTGTGATTCAAGAATATGATCCTTGGTTCATTTCTAAGTATGACCAAAACTGTTTTTCAAATAAGCGAATTCAAAACATTTTATTGAACGTTTATTAGAAATTTTATGCAAATGAATAATGAAGGAAAATCATTTCATTATTAATACCGGCTATGTTTATTTCATATCTATACATCAATGAGATCACCTACGAGGATTGAAGAAATTAGGTCAGATGACAGTCTATTCATAAAATGATAAGCGGAAGATAATCAGAAAAGGTTGGAAACAATATTCACTTGATTTCGAGAAACGGGTCGACGATTGATCTTTCATCATGGAAGTGGCATATTCATGAATGGTTAAGAACAGGAAATTGGGTAGGGGCTTTAAGCTATTCCAGTTCACATAGATAATCACAAAACAAGTGGCATATATCCATTTAAGAGGCATTTGTTTTCAGTGAGATCTTACTTGATCATTTGAAGTAATACAATATATTGAACAGAAAGTATGTAAAGTACAACTATAGATCAGTTCTAGAGTAACAGAGCATTTAGTTCGCCACACTTGTTTAGACCATTCACTGATTAGCTAAGTAATGACTTTCATTTCTATTTATATAAGTGTGAATAGCAATAAAAAGCGTCCATTCCTTTCTAACTCTCATCTTTTTTCATTCGGGTTACTGGTTAAGCATATGTGTAAGAAGATTGCTTATTATTATCAACTATGGGACACTGCAATTCACAACGGTGAATATTTATGAAGACAAGTGACAAATGGATACGAAACCCTATAGATTTAAAAAGTAAGATTGTCAAGAATCTCATCCTACACTCCATTTTAATTGCAAAATGCACGTCACGATGAACCACATATATTGTCAGTGTATAGGTAGTCGATACATATATCAGATTTGAAATCAACTAAAGAAGATAATAACTGATGTAAATATACGAAATATGTGTTAACGAGTAAAATTACCGTTAAGTGATTAAGACGTAGATATCCCGTTTGTGATTTCTCGAAACATTATGTTACATAGCTCCATTTTAAGTATAATTCGATTTTGTTAACAAAAGATGTCAGAAAATACATGTTTGTTTTAAAACGCCAACATATCACCAGAAAGAAGAAAATGCTAATCCGAAAAGTGTGTAGGGCTTGGTACCGTTCATACTTATTAAGAATTTTGATGCTGTTTAAGTTTGTTCTGTGACTGAAAGATGGTCAAACTGTCTATTCTACACAACCTGGCTATAGAGACAAACCGATTAGATTTGTGGTTTATCAAATATGGCGATTGTGAGTTATATGCCAACAGCAAATAAAGTGAAAATTAATAAACAGCACAAATTGTACACGCGTAACCAGAGTGCAAACACATCTAACTCATTTGAGGTTATGGCAATCAAATTGAGTACTATTAAAATTGCGTGAATTCATCGGTATGACTGGATGAACTAAGTAGAATAATAACCATAAAGAAGCAGTTATTTGGTCAATGCAAACAAAACATTGAAGAATGAGAATCAACTGGCATTATTCTAACCAAATCAACACGAATTTCCCAGTCTCATCACGTGTAGAATAAATTCCACAAACAGACAAATACAGTGTGTAGTTATCTGCTGAATGAAATGAGCAATCTATTACAATCACAAATATCCGTTATCGATGCATTCTAATTGAACCGATATCTCACTTTGAGACCTGAACTCTTATCCTATAAAATCACTCACCACGAAGTGTTTAAACATGTCACTTACACATTGACTCGCAAATTACCATGACAATAATAAACATAGAGAGGAAAATGTAGACAACGTACATGAATTGAAGTAGTTTAGTGAATGAGAGAACGACCAAGTATGTCCACACACGTCCGATGATTTGTTGACAGAAAACAACTTGACCTATTTTATTCTTCTATTATACACAATTACATTGGACATAGTGGACGACCAATCAATGAAATTAAATGTATCATCCATCTCAGACAGATTCTGTCAATACAGCCATATTCAAAGTGTGACCTAGTACAGATAAACCAATCAGAGTGTGATGATGAGAATTCAAGGTAATTTACTTTTCTGTTGCTGTTTTGGTTGTTGTTATTGTTATTGTTGTTGAATTGTAGTTATTGTGTGTTTTAGTTATTTGTGAAGCTTGTCGACCAGTGATTTTCGTGATCAATATGTTTAGCAAACATTGGTTATTGGTCTCGTGTAGAATGTTAGGCGATGGTGTTTATCAATCGGAAGTGACAGTGTAAGAGCAGATTGAATTTAGTTGAATTTGCCATCTACGTAATCAGAGATTGTATGCATGTAACAAGTGTGATGTTTGTGTGTACGTGGAGATGAATAATTTCATTTTGAAACGAAATGCTGTTAAATAGGTGAATTCATGCAAGCGTTCATGTGTCGAATTTATTTTGATAAATTTGAGTGAATCGATGAGGAGTTGATTTTGAAACGGAGGATATCAACTATTTTTGGTCTGTGCGATCGAATATTGTGTACAAGATATGAGTGTGATAGTGAGTGTAGTTATCGAATTTTCACTCGACAATTTAAAGTAAATTGTGCATTGGACGCTACAGTTGGCCTAGGTTTCACACTATTTGGAGAGAAAGTGGTTACGTCGAATGACTAGTGGTTGTTTGATGTAGACAAACATGTGTGTGATGACATGGATTGGTTTCAAAACTGAATGAATAGCACTGGTATTTACGTGCGATGATTTTGTTTGGTGAATTTTGGAATCTAGTCACTGAAGAAGACACAAGAAGAATGGTTGTTGTTTGTATTTGTTCCGCTCTTTGAATACTATCTGGGAAACAAACAGTGATGATAGAATAGATTGTTGCACAGCAATTCGGTATTGATGAGTGATCGATATCAGGACTTGTAATTTTACAGTTACGAATGAGTCTAGTCAATTTAGGTGTCGCTTGATCAACTAAACAGATAGCTCAACAAAACGTTATCATGTATTTGATTTGATGACTAAAGGCATTCGTGTTTACTGTCGTTTATGTGCATGGCTGACCCGTTAAATGGTTGAGTGTCGCATTTACTTACAACTTCCAATCCCGATCACATGACATCAACATCGGAAATGTCATAACTACGTTATTCAGTTAACAACTGGCTATTTGTATATATTCAAATCATTCAGTGAGTAGAAATTGATATCATGCAACCTTCTAGCTCATAAGACTGATTGGGTGCTCTCGATCATACTCTGAATCGAATATTCTCTGTTATGCATCTCAACTACTCGATAAGAGTTCGTCATTCAACTGATTCACTTATATCACTCGATTCGTTTTCACATTAAATTACATTCAGATATTACCTTGGTGTATTCTTCGTTCAAACCCCAAGGTTTAGGTAAAATGCATCTTCACTAATGCTATTACAAGTGAGTAATTGATGATCTCCACAATTATTGTTCACAAGATTGTTCTACTCCCGAATATTTAAATGAACTTCACGTGATGATATTTTCGAACGAGTTGTCAATTGTGAATCGTAGCAGTTGAATCGGATTTCTATGTCTCTCACAATTCAGTCATTTTACAAATGCAGAATTTTCATTGATTTAGTACAATTATATTGATCAATGATATGAATATTTCACTTGAAGTATGTGACCTTGACTGATTGTTTGTTTTTATCACTTTGTGGTTTATTTTAACAATGGACTAATGATGAAACTCAATAAATTGGATTCATCAATAATGTGTTGTAGACGAGAAATATTCACAGATATTTTATGTTGAGTTAGTAAACTGTCATGGTATTTCTATATCATTAACATATTTGTGTATATTGATTGACGTTATCTATAGTGTTCCACTATCACCAAATTACGCTTTCAGCTCTCGTTTCACGTTGACTGAATACTTAATGTGTGTTCTTCAAGTACTCATCATCACTTGATACAACAACTATTCAATACAAACCTGAATACGATCATTGGAACAACTGGTGAATACAGTGCTTATCCATACTCAAATTGAATAATCTTGTGTGTTCCCTTAATAGTTGAGATCGTGAGTCAATCGAAGCTAGATCACCATGGAAAACCTGGGAGCACTGGACGGGCGTTTCGTCCTGCTGTGGGACTCCTCAGCAGTGCGCATGTACCATCCTAGCACGCGAGGTTCGAACCCAGGACCTATCAGTCTCGCGCGTGATCGCTTAGCATCTAGATCACTGAGCCTTCCAAGTTTTCCATGGTGGTCTAGCTTCAATTGACTCATGATTTCAACTATTAAGTTTACTATAATATCCACGAAAAGCCCTTGTGATATTATTCTTGTGTGTGTTTTGATCTTGTAACTATAAGACATGTGGCCAGTCACTAACAATCAAATGGATTTCGTGAGACGATTTGGAATAGTTAGCGAAAATGAAAGTATGGGAGTTTGTTTCTTGAATCTCGTTCAGTTATGAATCTGTTCGTTGTTTCGATTTCACGTTTAGATGCTTCATTGGAGATTGCCACACAATCATATCGAGTTTTCTTGTGAGCAACAAAATACAGTGAGAATCAACATGATTCTTATGATCCAAATCTCACCGAACAGGACAGAACAGAATAGAAGTGGCTTCCACAAGTGACTCGACTCACCGAATTGGTATAACGAAGCCATACTAGTGTGAGTGAGTTGATGAGACACATTATGGAAATGAACTATCAGCTCTTGCAAATTGTTTGCACCCACATATCGACAACCTATGGATGATTAAACACGAGTTATTAGTACCATGGTTCACAAACCAGATCTTCTTACACAGTCAGTTGGATTTCTCTATGGAATTGAATTGAATTGATCAAATGTTGAGTATGTGTATTGGTGACTGAGTGAACATGTGTATTTGGTGTGAAGTTTGACAATGTGATGTGATGTGATGTGTTGTCTGTGGAAGGAATGGAGAATTTGAGTGGTTAGGTTGATTGGAGAAAACATTATTTTGGTGGATAACTAGACGACAATCAGTCACATCAGCTCAGTGAATCGTAGATTATATTATATATCTTGTTTGCATTCATGTTATCAATAAATTTGTCATATTGTAACATAATTTTAGAGACGTCATGAATTGTAGTTTCAATGTTTGCACATGCCATATAGCATCAGTTCTCACTTTGGTACAGAGTTATCATTTTAATTGTAAGTGTAGAATGAGTTGGAAATAAATGTGAGCTTGTGGTAAAAAATCATCATCACAAAAAGTATATGAAACAGCGTTAAAGGAAGAAACTAATTGTCACTCTTCACTGAATACAGTGTCTAGATCAACGAGATTTCGCTAAATTATCCAAAGGTATTCCACTTAACAGGTTATTCTAATCCTAATACATTTTAATAGATGATTTACCAAAATGTTTGAAATTTACGATCATCAAAACATTGAAGATGCGTTTTAAACTCGACAAATCCTTCAATGAAATCTAAGACTGATACGGGACTCCTCAGGAGTGTGCATCAACGTCCCTGGCAACCGGTAACCGAACTCAGGACTTTCAGTCTTACTCTCGGACGCTTAACCTCTAGACCACTGAGCCGGCACCCAATAGTGTACAAGGAATCATCTTATTTGTAGGTTTCACGGTGTTATTTACTTGTAGTGAATTCATGATAGAGATGTTTTGTGAGCTCAATTGAAGTAGTTACCGACTTGTTAAGTATAAAAATTTAACTTATCATTGAAATCGCAAAAACATTTACTAGTACGTGTAATTAAGCTTACATTACTTTAGTGAGAATTAGTTTCTTTCTGACTATCCAGTGATGGGATTATGTGTGCAGCATTTCAACATATACTTAAAAATCTCAGTTCTAAATTTGAACATGCATAGAAAAAAGTTCACAATGCACTAGTTATTCTATGTGTTCGACCTGCTTACAAAATTAAAGTAAAGCTTAAGAATTAGCATAGAACATAATGGTTCCCTTTTTGCTTGTTGATAAACGGTTGCTAAAATTAAACACGGCTATCGGCTTTCATTTACACTGTCGTTTGTCGCAATTATTTTTTTATGTTATCATTTCAGAAAGGCTTTCTCTTTCCAGATATACAGACACGCTGAACGCCATTAATACCTCATAAGTTGAGGTTTGTAAGAAATTTATGTTTATTTCTGAATAAGGAACTGTTATTTAGACAAACCGTTGTTTCACGAACTTCGGATTCATGCGTATCTCACTCGAGTTATTAGACTTTTTAATAGGATTAAGAAGTTATGATGCTTTCATTATTATTAATATACAGCAAACATATGTTCGTTTAAGTACAGTTCACATTACATTACTTGAAATGTGGAAATAGAAAATCTTAATCCTTCTGTTCTATAAAACATAGTACATCATAATGTTTCATTTTGTTTTCTTTACCCTTGTAAGGAAGACTTGCAAATTTTTGGGAACAGTTAACTTTACCAATACACAATTCATCTTGTACCATAGCACGAGTAATATATAAAGGTTCACTTGTGTTAGTTATACCAGCAAGTAATGCACTAGCTGGAACTCTACCGGAAGATGCTGGAACCCACTGATATCTTTTACAATTAAGAAAATAAGAAAAATATGTGAGGATTAGTTGAAATAAACATTTTATTGATATGTAATTTAAAACAAATTATAAAATATATAAACAATGTTTCTTATAAGTTACACATGCTGAATAGATTATCTGTTGTATTACATTGCAAGAAAACGATCATTTTAAATTCTACACTAATATGTGAACTTAAGTTTATATTCTTAAATTAAGTAGTTTATGTAATTATAGACAGTTTTATTCACTAATTAAATTTCTCGAATTGTCTAGATTGGGAAATATAAACTACTGAATTTTAGGTTGATACACTAGATTTAACACATTTGTCACAATACCTATAGTTTGTGAGTTCATTTTCTCATGAGATTGTAAGTGTGCACTGGATTGATGATCTAAACTACAAAGAAAAAAACATATTTAGTGTAATTTCAATGGTTAAGATCATGAGTCAGTTGAAGCTAGACCACCATGGAAAACCTGGAAGTACTGGAAGGCCGTTTCGTACTATTGTGGGACTCTACAGCAGTGCGCATCCATGATCTACTGGTTTCGCACGCGAGCACTTAAACACTAGACCACTGAGCTGGCCGGCATCCAACGGTGTTAATGTCTAACTTCAACTAATCTACGAAATTGAGCGACACATCCACCATTGTCTTCAGTGAGTTACTATCTCACAACAGATCTGGTTGAACTCCACTGGATACTACTTCTCACTAGAACTTCAGGATATACCTCGTGAGCCAGTCACTAGTGAGCATATGTTGATTAATATCAGATGGGTTTTGTGGAGATTGTAGTAATTTCAATGGTTAAGATCATGAGTCAATTGAAGCTAGACCACTATGGATAACCTGGAAGTACTGGACGGCCGTTTCGTCCTATTGTGGGACTCCTCAGTAGTGCGCATCCACACCGTTGGGTGCCGGCTCAGTGGTCTAGTGGTTAAGTGCTCGCGTGCGAACCCAGTAGGCCCTGGGTTCGAATCTCGCAGGGGGCGAGGTCGTGGTAGTTGTTAGTTCATTAGCTAATGATTCATATATATATATATATGGTGTTTTTATTTATTTATTATTCAACTATTATACGAAAACGAATGTTTCTAAAAACCTAATTTAACTGGGTGTTAATTATAAAGTGGTTTAGTGAAATTAATCTCTATGGTAGCAACAGTAATGTCCATTTATAAGTAGATGATAAGTTGTAACGTCTGGTTAGGTTATTACTTATTCATCTGTTCCGGGATTTTTATAACATAAATTATTGAAAATCACAAAGAGTTCTGAATAGGTATTGTATTCTATTATATCCTAGAGAAGATTAAATTCTAGGTAACTCAGATCTATTTATGGTCTAATATTATACATATAATCTTATTGTATAACTGTTAAGAAACTAAACTATATATATATGTTTATATTCCTGCTATTATAAGCTTTTATTTGACCTATTGGTTAATGTTCTATGTTCTACTACTCTTAATTTATTAGTCTTAGTCTCTCACAATCACAGCCACTTTTTGGATTGATCTTCTACAAATCTAATTTTCTATTTTACGGTATGATGTGGTCTGATTTTTCATGTATATAAACCAAGTGTTTGAAATATATGATTAGATATAACGAAGGCTGATATTTGTGTTAGTGATTGAATCGGATGGATTAGACGATAAGTTGCTATCTCAAGGATCAATACGAACTCTAGGCTTCTCGTACTGGTTTATACGTCATTGATCCGGTCAATAAGTTGGTGACTCTAATTGGCGATATGTTAACAGGGCACAAGGATCACAGGTTATAACATATTCACTTGAGACTCATTATCGATTTCTAAACACTATATCAAGTTAATCGAAGTTAAGAATATCAGAATCGGCTTCGAACACCATATACGGCATCCATCTGTTGATTTGAGATCCAGCATTCCATACATTATAAGCGAAGTTCTGTATCAATTGGTCACTATGATATTTTGAAAATTACCAATAAAATATTTAGTTCTGTCTGTTGGTCATTGGATAATGTATTAAGATTTCACTTATTATCAATGTACAATACAACTTCACAATTGAATTTAAATGGATTCACTTAATTATATTTGTTCATTCATATAATTCATGTATTTACATACACTTTCGGTTGAAATTCGAATGACCATACAGAATACCTTTTTTGAATCATCATATATATATATATATATATATATATATATATATATATATATCTGACAATATTGGGGATACTATCAATAATATTGGTTACATATATGTACAATCATTCAATTCAATTTCATGGTCGTCATAAATTTTCCATAAAACTACACACAACTTGTACAAGTATATATGACGGAGAAAATACAACAGTGTATTACACATAGACTTCAAATGAATTTGTAAAAAACACGCATCTCACCAATCATACCTGAAATCATGGCCAATAAACAATGATCTAAATCTATGACAAGCCTAAACCTTATTAACTTTATCATCACATAGTTAATATCAAAACAGTCTAGAAAACCAAGTTACATTAGCTGTGACTCATGTCAACTTATGATTGCTATAAACTCCGAAAGTTGCTCGAATTCCATTAAATCGATTCTCATATTTTATAGAAGTACAAATGCATAACTGCATAAGTTTTCGTAATAGACTTATCAATATAAATAATAAATTAAAAGAATACTTAATTTTACAGTATGTCCGGTGTATTTAAATCACTTTTTATTGATCCTGATTAACTCAACGATGTCTTCAGCATCGTCAGAGTTGTATAGATCAGAATAATAATAGTGGATTGAGGCTTCGCGTGTCATAAATCCACTCATAATTCACAAGTTTTGACAAGAAGGTAATTTAGATTCTTTTATGTTTTATGGTCGTTTGAGTTTGAAACTGATGTGCAAGCTTCTTATATGCGAGTCCAGCCAGCTTCTTGAGTGATAAAATCAAAAGTTATCAGGAAGTTTTATCGGTTAAACAGATTCAAGCATATATGAGCAATTCACCTATAAAACCAGACACTAATTTTAACCAATAGTGTGTTTATGTCCTCGGAAGGTTCAGCTGGATTCTCATTAAGAGCCTGAACTAATCAGCATCTCTCACTTACTACTTGGTCTTTGTCTACTCGGCCGAGTGTTTGAAACTCATTATTCGCATGTTCTGGTTGACAAATTATCCATATTTAATTGGCAAACACATCATATGATTATTTATGGGAAACATAATAAATTTAAGCTTTTCATCTTACTTACAAAGTTTGATTTGAATGTACGTTCGTGGTGCACAAAATTTCAAATTCAGAAAGTGGAGTTTCTTTTCCTTCGTAAAGTATAGAAGCTGTACCAGTTCTGAGAAGCATTTTACCTGGTATTAAATGTCCACCCTTTTTGCCACGAATCACACAAATGCCAGAATCTGCTTGGAGTGCATTTGGCGGTGGAGGTGATCCACTGGTAGAAGGTAACCAAGACAGATGAGCTTCTTTGGCATTATGTACAATATTCATTCTAAAACCGAATAAATAATTATGATGCTTAATAATATCATGTTAAATTCACAGAACTGGATACACCTTTTGAAATATAGTATTTGGCAGTGCGTATGATTATCGAATTCATTACTACAATCCTGTTGGTTAATTTGCGCTAAGTTGTGTGATTGATTCGAATGCTTCATATGTGACTCCGTATAATATCTCTTTATTCTGTTGCGTATCCATCTGTTTGGTTATCTATCAGTCTCTTAATCACATTTCAGTATTATACTGATCTACAAATATTTAAGGCACATTGACTAATTCACACTTTGGACAGTTTGAATTCATTTCAATACAACGCAAATTAAACTAGTCTAATGCAATCCTGAAATTATTTTACTATAATATAACTGGTGGGTATTCTGTTGTCGGTATTATTTCCATTCTAATACGATTGCTGGTGATTCGAGTGTAAGCGTCGATGTAAATCCAATTCAATTACAATTAGGTTTACTTCTGGATTCATTCTAAAAAGAGTGCATATCAATAGGGGAGAGGATTGATAAAGGCGAGGATCAAAGAGGCAATAACATTTTCAAGGGTTTGATACTTGATTAGTTTACTGTCTGTCCCTTCACCTAGACGGCCGATCAAAAAATATAGTTATTTAAACGATCAGTGAAGATTCTACTTTCAATAAGCACTGTAATTCGTCGGATTCAGCAACAATTCATCATTTTTATTAGTCCAGTCATGTTATCTCATACATCTATTTTGAACAATGTATTTGAAGATCTAGTTTGCTTGCATCACAATTAGTATGGTTCTACAATAGTGAGGTTCAGATAATGTATCTTTTCCTTTACTGTTGAATATCAATTTTATCTGATATTCATAACCTACTCATGTTATGCAATTGGCTAATATCTGTGTAAATGAATACGAATTATCTGACAGTACATGCTATTCCAGACTAAAAGTGACGATTTGTTAAGAATAAACCATAATATTGTGATTGTTGTATTTTTATACGGTAGGTCAATTGTCTTTCCAGTGATCTTGATTTCTCATCATAGCATTTAATAATGATTTCAATGGTTGAGAACATCAGTCAATCGAATCTAAACCACCATGAAAAACACGGAAGCACTGGATGGCCGTTTCGTCCTATTTAATAGTCAGTTAAATGTAAGTAAAGATCAAAAGATCTTATAGAAACTCTATGAATATTTGTAAAATCATTTATCACCACTGTTCTGTTCTTAATAAAAACACTTATATATTAACATCTGATAACTTTCCTAATTATGAATGAAAATATGAGTATCATATCAAACATATGATTAATGTAATTCGAATAGTCTACACTGTCATATGAATAGATACCCTTATTCTGGTATTAATCCAAAACTGTTATTACTTCATTTGAGCTACATTCATTCAATCCTATTATAATTTGTTGATTACTACTATACATGCCAATTTATTAAATCGCTTAAATCTATACTCAGGGAAGTTTGTATTCGAGGTCTTATTTAATTCAATCATTCTACGCCATCGAGTTAAAGATATACATAACAATAATCTATATTACAAATACACTTTAAGTTGTTTTACTTTTTAGATGTTTTGATGGTTAAAAATAACCCAATTCTGTTTTGTCTTGTGGTCTGTTAATTAACACGTGATAAGATCGCCAATCAGAACACAACTTATACAATCTTAGCACTGTACCAAACCAATGACGTATCGATCGGCACGAGAAGCCTAGAATCCTTATTGGCCCTTCTTGCCTATGCCCTGTCTCTTCGGTTCAGAACACCGATATCAGCTTCCACTATATGAATCATATATTTCAGACATCGTTTATGCAAGCAAACTAGATCACATCATACCATAAAATAGAAAATAAGGATTCATTCATTTCTTCAAATCTAGTAGAACTACTTGACACGTTTCTGATGCAGACCTAGTCTCACTTTACATTTACGAACAATGTTGGCCTATTTTTGTGTTGAACAAACAACTTTATTATCTGCAAAAAGACTTAGATGATTATCCGTATCATCGAGATTAAAACTAATAATTTCCCATTGATAACCCAACAATCTATTTTCGTCCTAAGCACCAGTGTCAGCTGAATCATGGTCACTTTTAAGACTGATCAAATGAGGTTAAACATAAACCACACTTAGGTCTTTATTCAGGCTGTCGGATGCTTCCAGATTTTCAGTGATTGTCTTTGATCAGTTCGTGATTTCGAAGGAAATCAACAATCCACACAACCAAATATGAACAAATTAACTTTGTTGAAACTAAGTGTTTACGAAATCGAGTGGACGAAAAGCGAATTCCAGCGCTTTAACTGGCTTGGTGGAATCGAAGAGTCCACCTAGAAGAGTTGGAAAACCCTGACTCCAAACCAATGGTTCACACCGGTTCCAGGATCCTGAAGGAACAAATGACGCATGAACCAGTCGTTGGTTACCGGCTACCATGGGACTGCATCTCCTAATGTTGCTCCACTGCCTTGTGGGTCATAACTTTATGATGAAGGCTCCGGGTATAGCCCCATAAGAAAACCACCTGCTTTGGTTCGGGCAGTATCACAGCCCACACGCAAATCAAGTGACTTGTGTGGCGCATATGTAATCGGTGCTCCTTTGCACCAATATTTATGTGTTCAAATAAATAATAAATGAATAAAGTGCAAGAGGATTTTTACAACGGTTTATGCGTTACACTACAGCTGTAATATGCTTATAACTGCACAAGGCCCGTTATTGGTTAAACTTGTTAACCAATAAGAGGTATTACATACGTTCCGATTAGAAGCTGCAAGATTGAAAGATAACCAATCTGTCTATCCTAAATTCTGTGACTGTATAGGCAAATCAATTAGACTTGAGTTTTGTAAATGGACTCATCTTGAGATTCGTGGAGAATATATGCTGTCTGAAGGCAAACAATCACGAACAAATCGATCATATATATTCACAGTATCAGAGTTACTAATCTATCCAGAACTCATGGTGACACAAGTGGGTCTTAAACGCCCCGTGAATCCATTGGCGTAAGTGAACGAACATATTCACACAACGATTCCGTTCCTGCAGTAAACTAGTCACCATAAACAAAACATTGAAGAATGAGAATCAACTGGCATTATTCTAACCAAATCAACACGAATTTCCCAGTCTCATCACGTGTAGAATAAATTCCACAAACAGACAAATACAGTGTGTAGTTATCTGCTGAATGAAATGAGCAATCTATTACAATTACAAATATCCGTTATCGATGCATTCTAATTGAACCGATATCTCACTTTGAGACCTCAACACTTGTCCTATAAAATCACTCACCACGAAGTGTTTAAACATGTCACTTACACATTGACTCGCAAATTACCATGACAATAATAAACATTGAGAGGAAAATGTAGACAACGTACATGAATTGAAGTAGTTTAGTGAATGAGAGAACGACCAAGTATGTCCACACACGTCCGATGATTTGTTGACAGAAAACAACTTGACCTATTTTATTCTTCTGTTATACACAATTACATTGGACATAGTGGACGACCAATCAATGAACTTATATGTATCATCCATCTCAGACAGATTCTGTCAATACAGCCACATTCAAAGTGTGACCTAGTACAGATAAACCAATCAGAGTGTGATGATGAGAATTCAAGGTAATTTACTTTTCTGTTGCTGTTGTGGTTGTTGTTATTGTTATTATTGTTGAATTGTGGTTATTGTGTGTTTTAGTTATTTGTGAAGCTTGTCGACCAGTGATTTTCGTGATCAATATGTTTAGCAAACATTGGTTATTGGTCTCGTGTAGAATGTTAGGCGATGGTGTTTATCAATCGGAAGTGACAGTGTAAGAGCAGATTGAATTTAGTTGAATTTGCCATCTACGTAATCAGAGATTGTATGCATGTAACAAGTGTGATGTTTGTGTGTACGTGGAGATGAATAATTTCATTTTGAAACGAAATGCTGTTAAATAGGTGAATTCATGCAAGCGTTCATGTGTCGAATTTATTTTGATAAATTTGAGTGAATCGATGAGGAGTTGATTTTGAAACGGAGGATATCAACTATTTTTGGTCTGTGCGATCGAATATTGTGTACAAGATATGAGTGTGATAGTGAGTGTAGTTATCGAATTTTCACTGGACAATTTAAAGTAAATTGTGCATGGAGATTGTTAGTCGTAAATTAATGATAGATTTGTGATAATTGAATGAGTAGAAACTAGAGTTTGTGACTATTCATGATTAATTTTGAAAGTCTCTTCTTCACAGAGTAGATCAATAACCGAATTGAATGAAGATAATTCTGAATAAGAGATTCTATGTTAGTCTAAATGTTGAGGTGGAGCAAGACAAAATCTAAATCACAATAGGTCTGATTTTATCGAAGTTATGCCATTTAAGTCAAAATGGTTCTGAGTGAGACAACATCATGAGTTTAGATGGTGGTTGGAGGTAGTTGACAGGAAACTCTGGACCCTCGTTTCGTGCTACTTGGCACTCGTCAGCAAGGTGTACCTGTAATCTTGAGGGAACTGGTGCTCCCTGGCGGATTCGATCTCGTGTCACCCAGCTTCACAGTCAGAGACGTTACCACTGAGCTATCCGAGCACTAATAAGGACTAGACAAGCATGACATTGATCACCACCACCCAGTGATCAATCAATTGTGATTACATCTCAGTCCTACAGGAGGTTAGTCACGGCTCGGATAGCTCAGTGGTAACGTCTCTGACTGTGAAGCTGGGTGACAGGAGATCGGATCCGCCAGGGAGCACCAGTTCCCTCAAGATTACAGGTACACCTTGCTGACGAGTGCCAAGTAGCACGAAACCCGGGTCCAGGGTTTCCTGTTGACTACCTCCAACCACCATCTAAATCTCAATACATAGTGCCCGCAGTGTCGAGTCACCTAGACTGGTGGCCACATTGCAACATGATCGATAGCATTCGATCTGCACTAATAAGGACTAGACAAGCATGACGTTGATCACCACCCAGTGATCAATCAATTGTGACAACATCATGAGTACTTGTGTGCCTAATAGTGATTGTGAGTGTGAAGTATGTAAAATTTATAGTGTGAAGAAATTCTATTCCTTTCTCACACCCTTAACACACATCCGAATTCAATTTCACATCTACTCCACATTACAAACTTCACACATGTCACACTCACCAGCATACACACAAATACTCACTAAATATTCTACTTTGTTCCCCTTCACCATTTAGACCAACACAGAATCTCTTATTCAAAATTGTCTCCATTCAATTCGGTTGTTGATCTACTCTGTTAAGAAGAGATTTTCAAAATTAGTCGTGAATGGTCACGAATTCTAATATCACATTATTTTATGACTATACGATGAAGAGATTAACTATTAACGATTTACTATGATACTGATCGTTTAATTATTTAATGTATCGGTTAGGTCTGACTGAGAGTGTAGCATTCCTTGTGCACTTTCATTACTCTTCGTCTTTTATTCCTTTCATGTGAGAAGAGATCCTTCAACAGGATCTGTACTTCTCGTTTGAATGCATTTTGTGCTGGAAAGCACTCACGTGATGTTGCATTACTCGATGCTGATTGATGACCACATTTTAAAACAATGCTTTATCTGTTAAAATTCGATTGATCACTGGGTAGTGACCAATGTTTTGTATGTCCTTCATATCCTTCTTGTTTGTGATCGAATTCTATCGATTGAATTGTAATATGGACACTAGTCTGTGTGAATCGATATAGCATGCATTGTGTTGAGATGTAATTTGTTGGTTGGAGACAGTCGATAGAATGCCCCAGTTGGTCAAGTTTTCATGCTATTTGAAGAGAAAGTGGTTACGTCGAATGACTAGTGGTTGTTTGATGTAGACAAACATGTGTGTGATGACATGGATTGGTTTCAAAACTGAATGAATAGCACTGGTATTTACGTGCGATGATTTTGTTTGGTGAATTTTGGAATCTAGTCACTGAAGAGGACACAAGAAGAATGGTTGTTGTTTGTATTTGTTCCGCTCTTTGAATACTATCTGGGAAACAAACAGTGATGATAGAATAGATTGTTGCACAGCAATTCGGTATTGATGAGTGATCGATATCAGGACTTGTAATTTTACAGTTACGAATGAGTCTAGTCAATTTAGGTGTCGCTTGATCAACTAAACAGATAGCTCAACAAAACGTTATCATGTATTTGATTTGATGACTAAAGGCATTCGTGTTTACTGTCGTTTATGTGCATGGCTGACCCGTTAAATGGTTGAGTGTCGCATTTACTTACAACTTCCAATCCCGATCACATGACATCAACATCGGAAATGTCATAACTACGTTATTCAGTTAACAACTGGCTATTTGTATATATTCAAATCATTCAGTGAGTAGAAATTGATATCATGCAACCTTCTAGTTCATAAGACTGATTGGGTGCTCTCGATCATGCTCTGAATTGAATATTCTCTGTTATGCATCTCAACTACTCGATAAGAGTTCGTCATTCAACTGATTCACTTATATCACTCGATTCGTTTTCACATTAAATTACATTCAGATATTACCTTGGTGTATTCTTCGTTCAAACCACAACGTATAGGTAAAATGCATCTTCACTAATGTTATTACAAGTGAGTAATTGATGATCTCCACAATTATTGTTCACAAGATTGTTCTACTCCCGAATATTTAAATGAACTTCACGTGATGATATTTTCGAACGAGTTGTCAATTGTGAATCGTAGCAGTTGAATCGGATTTCTATGTCTCCCACAATTCAATCATTTTACAAATGCAGAATTTTCATTGATTTAGTACAATTATATTGATCAATGAGATGAATATTTCACTTGAAGTATGTGACCTTGACTGATTGTTTGTTTTTATCACTTTGTGGTTTATTTTAACAATGGACTAATGATGAAACTAAATAAATTGGATTCATCAATAATGTGCTGTAGACGAGAAATATTCACAGATATTTTATGTTGAGTTAGTAAACTGTCAAGGTATTTCTATATCATTAACATATTTGTGTATATTGATTGACGTTATCTATAGTGTTCCACTATCACCAAATTACGCTTTCAGCTCTCATTTCACGTTGACTGAATACTTAATGTGTGTTCTTCAAGTACTCATCATCACTTGATACAACAACTATTCAATACAAACCTGAATACGATCATTGGAACAACTGGTGAATACAGTGCTTATCCATACTCAAATTGAATAATCTTGTGTGTTCCCTTAATAGTTGAGATCGTGAGTCAATCGAAGCTAGATCACCATGGAAAACCTGGGAGCACTGGACGGGCGTTTCGTCCTGCTGTGGGACTCCTCAGCAGTGCGCATGTACCATCCCAGCACGCGAGGTTCGAACCCAGGACCTATCAGTCTCGCGCGTGATCGCTTAGCATCTAGATCACTGAGCCTTCCAAGTTTTCCATGGTGGTCTAGCTTCAATTGACTCATGATTTCAACTATTAAGTTTACTATAATATCCACGAAAAGCCCTTGTGATATTATTCTTGTGTGTGTTTTGATCTTGTAACTATAAGACATGTGGCCAGTCACTAACAATCAAATGGATTTCGTGAGACGATTTGGAATAGTTAGCGAAAATGAAAGTATGGGAGTTTGTTTCTTGAATCTCGTTCAGTTATGAATCTGTTCGTTGTTTCGATTTCAGGTTTGGATGCTTCATTGGAGATTGCCACACAATCATATCGAGTTTTCTTGTGAGCAACAAAATACAGTGAGAATCAACATGATTCCGATGATCCAAATCTCACCGAACAGAACAGAACAGAACAGAACAGAACAGAACAGAACAGAACAGAACAGAATAGAAGTGGCTTCCACAAGTGACTCGACTCACCGAATTGGTATAACGAATCAACACTAGTGTGAGTGAGTTGATGAGACACATTATGGAAATGAACTATCAGCTCTTGCAAATTGTTTGCACCCACATATCGACGACCTATGGATGATTAAACACGAGTTATTAGTACCATGGTTCACAAACCAGATCTTCTTACACAGTCAGTTGGATTTCTCTATGGAATTGAATTGAATTGATCAAATGTTGAGTATGTGTATTGGTGACTGAGTGAACATGTGTATTTGGTGTGAAGTTTGACAATGTGATGTGATGTGATGTGATGTGTTGTCTGTGGAAGGAATGGAGAATTTGAGTGGTTAGGTTGATTGGAGAAAACATTATTTTGGTGGATAACTAGACGACAATCATAACCGCGAAGCAACACACCATGTGTATTATACCATATGTAATGAGATTATTGTAAAAGATGAATATGATTTGAAATTGTATAGTGTCTATATTTGGCACTGATCGATGCACGCAATTGATTAGATATTCATTGAATCACGACAGTGTGTGAATGTGGTAATAGTTGATTGTGGTTGATGTTGAAGTACAGAAATTCAATTTTTGATCACCGTTCTTCTGACGAGTTAAGAGAAAACTAGATGAGTATTCAGAACCACGTCGAAAATCAGTTACTGATGATATGGGAATCTCGGTGAAGAGAAATGAATAAGTCAAAGTTAGCTGGTGAAAGTACCTATTTGAAGTGATTCAAATCAGTGAGAGATGTGGAAGTGTGTTGGAGTGTGCTTTGATGTGTAGAATTGAGAAATCACTTGAAATACTGTTTTCCTCTCATATTTAACTGCTTTATTCTAAGTTACTTGCCAATGTAAAAATTTTTGTCTTCTTAACTCCAGATTTTACTAATTGATTGTTATACTACTTGAATGTTGCCAGTAGGTAAATTTATGCAATCGATTACAGATCCAAATTAATATTCTTATGGATTGACTTCACATAATACAATGCCACAAAATACTATGAAGTTCATATTCCATTTCCGAAATAGGTTCTGAGTTTTAACTTCATTTACTTCCTTTTTAAAGTATCTTTAGAAAATAAGATCTACTTAAAATAAAATTTGCTAGTGAAGATGAGAATGAATTAAAGAATATTTACTTTTGTATTCAGTATGAATAACGTAGTGTTCGATTATTGGGAGCAATAACGAATATGGACTTTGGTATTTTGCTTAGTTTTGATACGTTTTGTCATTATAAAGCTATAATGTGAGTTATTGGCTATTAAAATATCTGCTGATTTAAGACGATGGCTTATGAAATCGAAAATTGATAATAACTGGAGCACGTTACGAAACATTTCAGTGTCTATTTAAATGAAGTTGCAGACTAGAATGAAACAGCCCTTTCGTACTTCAAGAATGCTCCTTGTGTCCCCTATCTAACCTTTCTCTTTTCATCATCAATCAAATATCACCATGTGTTATGGAGTTGATTTTAATAACTTTTTTCGTGAAATTTCTATACTTCAATATCATTATGAAATTCGCAGAGTACCTATTCTGTGCGATCTACTTTTGTTTAGGTTGATTGCCTTCTCTCGTACAACACTATGTATACTAGGAAACATACAAGCTGTCCTGATTTCTTCATCAGTTTGTATCATATTCCAATCAATAACATAATGTGCTAAGAGATTTACTGTCTGTTATATCTAGAGCTTAGGTTCTTGATATACCGTGTGCAACTTGAGCACTCGAACGCTAGAACTCTCCAAGTCGCAAATGAGAATACAGAATACAAGTGGAAGGAATGCTAGTCCAAATAGTGCCAAATTTGGTACAAAACCGTCAGGTATTTATAGTTTTTAGTAAAAACGAAATGATCATCATAATCATTCATTTCTTATACAGGGGTATTTTAGCATTTATCCAATAGGGAAGCTACACGTAGAGATCCTGGAATATTCTTCCGGAAGATAATTGGATGAAATATCTTCGGCTCTTTCTGAGCTTTATATAGTATCCTCAAGTTCAAATGTGGGCCGTCCTCACATCATCCAAGCGTGGAATCAATTCATGCAAAAAACTATTATCAATTCCTTGATTGAAAATTTTGGATCGTTATCTTATGTGTTTGAGATACGTGAAAGATATACGACATTTAATAATATCACCTGACCTGTTTATTCATGTAAATCACTTTATTGACAGCACACAAGACTATTTTTGAATTACTGTCCTGAAAAGACAATGAACAACATAATTAATAATATCTGCGTCAATCACAATCTTCTTTCCTTATTCTAGATTATTACTAGTCGTATTGTAGTGAACGAGAACACAAGTAGGGACAATCGAATATATGTGAACACACAAATTACAGAACGTCTTAGTAAACTCTGAGAACCATATAGTAAATACTTGATTATTTCTTCGTTTCCACAACAATCACTCTCTGTTCTCGTTCTCTTGTCTCCGATTTTCTTAACCTTCTGCCACCAGGGATTTCAATTCCGATTAGTGACACATACTATTTATATCTGTCGCCATCAGTGGCACACACAACATTATATTCCACTGGTTGTTTGGAATGTTTTTGCACGGACATTGTTTCTCATTGTAGGAACGTGATTGGTTAGTACTCATATTCATACACCTAAGTAACCACGGACATAAATTCGATTAAGAAAATGGAAACATTCTAGTTAGAAGAAATTCTA